TAAAATGACTTGAAACAGTAAGTGGGCCTGCTACCAAAAGGCAGGCCAGAGAAATCTCTCAAGAGAGCTCCTAGATCCCATAGGCCGTGGCACAGCTACTGACTGTGCTGACTTAGCATGGCAAGGTGCTTTCAGACATTGTGGACGACAGGGAGCAGAGATGAAAGATCCCAGCCTCTGTTTTTTCCTCTGTGAGATGAGCTGCTGTGTCTGCTCAGAGAACTGAATTTAAAGTAATTAATCCATAATAACGCCAAATTGACAGGGATCTTCCTCCACTGAGATTTACTGTAAAGAATGCTGCAAGGTAGGAGCGCGTACACACACACACACACACACACACACACCCTTCAGCCACAGAGTTTAAAGGGACTTCAGCTCCCATGTGGCTTTGCTCCAGGACATCAGGAAAACCACCATCCTAATGCTGACAATGATGGGTTCCCAGTGGTAGTTAAACAGGCCATCAGTAAATACTGGTCACAGAATGCATGGCTTCCTCACAGGGCTATTGAGGAATGAATGAAAACGGCAAAGCTGCACGGGACCACGCACACACAAACACACACGTCATATGGTGGTCCCTCCCGCCTCGTCTCTCTCTCCCACAGCGAGATCTCTGAGAGCTGCGACGCTAAAGAAAACGGAGAGCTAGGTTCAAAAAGACTCCCGGGTACCATGAGGTAAAAAATTCTCTGTGGGTTCACTTACTTTGCCACTACGTGTAACGCACAATTTCCACTTTCTCATAGGTAGTATATCAATGATCAGTTAAGGATAGGAATCAAGGCAGCTGACAAAACACTCTGCAGGCAGCAAGAACCTCTCGTGTGGCAGCTGGCCAAGGACCACCCCAGGAGGAGGAGGCAGGGCAGAATCCATCACTCTGGGATTTCACGCACGCTTGAATATTTGTGAGCAAGGTGGCTCAGACCGGACCAGGGCTAGCTCCATTTTGGAGGAAGGCATAGCACAGAGTCTCATTAACAACAAAGGTGGCTCTGGCTCAATCTCATACTTTCATAAAGTTTAGCACCATATCTTGTTCTGTAAAACATCATCTACAACATTAAAAAGGTCAGGCATGGTGGCTTCTACCTGCTATCTTAGCAACTTAAGAGACAGAGATCGGAGGGAATGTGCTTTGAAGCAAGTCCAGGCAAAAGGTTAGTGAGACCCTACCTCAACCAGCAAGCAGGGCAAGCCACGGTGACATGCATCTGTAGCCCTGCTAGATGGAAGGGCATAGACAGACAGGGAGATCTTGGTCCAAGGCCAGACTCAGGCAAAACATGAGACCCTGACTGAAAAATAACTAACACACAGAGGGCTGGGGGCTTGCTCAAGAGGTAGAGCAAGTGCCTAACAGGTGTAAGGCTCTGACTTTGAACTGTAATTCAGCCAAAACAACAACAAAACATTATCACACTCTATTTCAAGGAACCACTAATTGCTCAGAAATTGGAACATGAAGATTACACATTCTGCTTAAGTTAAAACCAAACCTAAGGGCTGGGAAGGTGGCTCAGTGGTAGAGCGCTTGCCTTGCATGCATGAGACCCTGGGTTCGATTCCTCAGCACCACATAAGCAAAAACAAAAAAGCCGGAAGTGGTGCTGTGGCTCAAGTGGTAGAGTGCTAGCTTTGAGCTGAAGAGCTGTGGGACAGCGCCCAGGCCCAGAGTTCAGGCCCCACGACTGGACCCCCCCCAAAAAACCAAACCTAAGCTGGGCGCCGGTGGCCCATCCCTGTCATCCTAGCTACTCAGGAGGCTAAGATCTGAGGATCACAGTCTAAAGCCAGCCCGGGCAGGAAAGTCTGTGAGACTCTAGGTCCAATAAACCACCAGAAAACCAGAAGTAGCGCTGTGCTCAAGTTATAGAGCACTAGCCTTGAGCTGAAGAGCTGAGGGACAGCGCCAAGGCCCAGAGTTGAAGCTCCACAACTGACAACACCTTCCCCCCCCGTAAAAAAAAAACAAACAAAACCAAACCTATTCTCTACCTTTTCCAAAAACACAAGTATAGACTAAAATTCCAGTACACCAATAAAAAGCACATATTATTTAGATTACGGTAAATAAAACAAGTGCCAAGATTCCAAAGAGGTCAGAAAGGATGGGCTTGCACACACATAGGAGAGAAGGAATGATGATAACAGAGTTTCTAAGCCCTAAGCTCCCGTCTTCTTTGTTTCAGACACTTTAGATTCACACACGGAAGGAAAGTAAAACTCATTTGCATCCAGATCAGTTCTTCAAAACCAAAGAATCAAGCACACCAGCTTCATTTCTGTTGAGGATGTACAGGAGGTGAACCTGTGGCTAGCACCCACAATATCAGGACTCAGTTTCCTGTCACGGAGAACAAGACTGGAGCCTTCTCTGCTTCTTACAAAGTGCTGGTGTCTCAGTCCCACAAAATGCTAGTCTAGTAGAGACTACACAATAATAGTTCAACTGGGTTCAACTTTTGGGAAATGTAACTTCAGTGATGAAGACATTTTTGAGATAACAGAGCGATAATGGGAAGATACAGAACGGTAGAGACTGGAGGCAGAGCCTCCTGTAGGGAGGACAAGCTGCCGGCCATGAATGGGCAGTGTTGTCACTGTTCTAAGTTCTCACTCTGGACACTCGGGAAGTCAAGGAATGCAGCATGCATGGCCATATGAGGGGTGCTGCCGGGGCCGCAGGCAGTGGCCGGGGAGGAGGCTGGAGGGGCTGATGATGAGAAGAATGACAGCCACATTCCTTTGCAGAAGGGCTCTGACCATGGTCACAGAGCTCAGCCAGAAGCAGCCAGAGGGGCTTGTCAGCATTCACCAGTCCCAGCCCCATTGTGCCGCTCATCACCGGGCTCCACCACGTCCAGTTAAACACGAGTTTCAGTACTAGTTGGTGACACACACTCCTGGGTCTGGAGAGAGCTTTCTTTGCTACGTGTGACTCCCCTGCACACCACAATTTTCACCAGGAGCCTCTGGCTTCTTCTCTGAATTTGGAGAGTTGACAACTCCCTATGGGTTCTCGTCTGCAGGGCTGACGGCCTGACTCTCCACTAAGCACTCCTGTTAAGTGAGCAATGCAATCCCTGGTGGGGAGCAGAGCCAAGGGCGGCGCGAGAGTGAGGGAGGTGAGGGTGAGGAAGGAAGGCTAGCTGGAGGCTCTGCAGCGGGGTGAGGCATGCCGGCAGGCTTAGACCCTCCCAGGGCTTCCCCTTTCTGGTGCAAAGTAGGAAGGGTTTCCTCACCCAGCCTGTGTACCAGCCGATCCACCTGCTTGGCCAGTACCTGCGGACGGACACCAGAACACAGCGGACAGACAGGCTGAACTCCCAGCTTTGAGTGCCAGACTCCACAACTCTAGCCTGAGCTGCTCAGCTGTGCATGGCTGTCTTGGTGTCTGGGCTGGACGCAGGATTCTCCCTATGTGATGACAGTCATGTTCTGGGTGGGTGGCGGTAGTCAGGTCTATTTTAGAATGTGAGCACTGGAGCTGGGCGCAGTTACAATGGGTGCCTGGCAGGTCACATTTGCTTCCTTCATACTGGAGGAGAGGAAAGCCATTCCGAGCAGACAAACAGTGGACTTTGGCTAAATGTTCTCCTCCCTTTCTTCAGAGGTAACTGTCACAGTGCAAGCAGCAGTGAACTTGACCTTGAGTGCACAGCTTTCAGCTGAACTTGAGTTCACACACAACTTTCATTCCTTTCTATGAAAGGAAATCAGCAGAAACTCAAGACGTGAAAAGGGCAAAAATGCACTTTTTGGCCAATATTAATGTTCAATGTATTATTTGCTTACTTAAGTTGCTTAAAACAAGACTGTATGTCTTGTCTGATAGAGTGTGTGCTCTGGCCTGGAGATTCCTGCTGTGTTTACAGAATCAATTAGTTGTATAAGGGGTTCCATTCTGCATGTCCATGATGTGCATACAGTGTATGTCCTCTACCCCAATCCTTCCTGTCCCCCTACCAAGCAGAGGGAGCCCCAGCATTCTGACAGGTGGAGCTGAGGGCTCTCTATGGAGGGGAGCTGTCCTTTCTGCAGGCCAGATGTTAATAAAAATGTCTCCAGGCCAGGTTTGGTAGCACACAGTGGTGGTCTCCTCACTTGAGGACTGAGAAAGAAGGATGGAGGGTATGAGGCCAGCCTGAGCTACACAGCCAGACCCTGTCACAACAGAGGAACAAACATGCCAACAAGCAGGCCTGCCAACAGCCACTGACGTGGCCAACTGTCCTTTTGGGGGAGTGAATTGCTGCTGGTTGAAAGCTACTGGCTTAGACTGTAAACTAGCCAAACAGTAACACAAGACTGAGACAAAGTTCCTTATACTTTGTAAGGAAGTTTCAGAAAGTAGCGAATCCCAGACCCCGGCCAACTGACCACACCAAACCCAATTTCCACCAACAGGAAACCATCTATCACAGATCCATGCGCGCGTGTGTGTGTGTGTGTGTGCGCGCGCGCACGCACGCAATGGTACTAGGGCTTGTACTCAGGACTTGGGTACTGTCCCCAAGCTTTCTCACTCAAGGCTAGTGCTCTACCACTTAAGTTTTACCTCCACTTCTGACTTTTTGCTAGGCAATTTTGAGATAACAGTCTCATGGATTTTCCTGTGCAGGCTGGCTTTGATCCTCAAAGTCAGTCCTCAGATATCAGCCTCCGGAGTAGCCAGGATTACAGGCATGAGCCACCAGTACCCAGACCATTTTTTCCTTTTGAATAATCATTGTAATTACCATACTCTTTAAAGATGGAAAAACCACTTAAAGCAAGCCTATAAGATTATTTGAGTCAGCACTGATTTTATGTTCTATAGGAAAAAAAAGGTGCATAGACATACACACAGGCACAGGCACGCACGCGTGTGTGAGCGCACGCACACACACACTTTCAAATGCTTGCTCCATCTCTTGTACAATGACAGCTCTGAGAAGAGCCGCTCTTAGAAGTGGTAAGGACGACGGGACAGGCAGACCATGGATACATACCATCAAAACTGCCCTGCTCAGCGGCCAGCTGCAGCAGCTGGCTGTAGGTCTCAGCCGAGGGCTGATAGACGAAGACCCCGGAGTTGAAGCAGTCAGGCCATCCCGGGTCTGGTGCTGCTGACAATTCTTCTCTCTCGAAGAGATCGTCGATATTTGCTAAGACCTGATGCAGAGGGGAGAGAGGCATTGCTGGGACCGCTCTTGGCAGACCCGCCTGCAGTTCTCACTCAGTACCCTGGACAGTCATGGATGGGGTACTGTCCCTCTCCACCTGACCCTTCTAGGCAAGTCACAGCGGTCAGGATGCTGGTGAGTCTCGCCGAGCATCTCAAGGGCCTAGAGGTGCGTCACCAGGCGTGGATGCCTGCGCCTTCTCTCACAAGCCACACTCACCAGCGTATCTGCATCCATGAACACACATTTGGAGTACTGTGTGAGGGACCAGCAGTGCAGCTTCGTCAGCGTGACCCCCAGCTCAGGCCGCTTCATTAAGGTCAGGTGTGCAGAGTCACCACTGTCTAAGACATCTACCGTGAGGACTTCGTCGAAGACCGTCTCTAGGGCTTTCCTGCCAAAATAAAATCATGGTCCTCAGATCTCAGTCTCCCAGCTAGTGTGGGTTGCAGGTGTGGGCCACTGGCACCCGGGGGACAGCACATCTTTGTACAATGATATTTTGTGCAATGATGCATTTGACAATTATATGTTACTAGATTCTGGCTTACCACTGCGTATTTTAGCTAATGATGCTGGGTAATATTGCCTGTAACACATACAATGAGGCCTAGAACTAATGATTCTGGCTAAGGTAACTGACTGAGTTGACTGAACCTTTGCATCCCAGGAGCAACAAAGGAGCATGGCTTTCTGGTCTCTGTTGTTCTGGGGTGACACGTAACCCGTGGGCATAATGAGAAACTCACTTTGGTCTGTGAGCTCCCATACTTCTCCATGCCCAGCATTAACTAGGTTTTTACTTTAGGGAGCTTCTATGAGAGGTCAGTATGAAGGGCTTGGGTAAAGCACGAATCTTAGCACAAGTGGCCTGTGGTAGGTTGATACAAGGAAGGGTCCGGCTTCCGATTCACATTCACACTAACAGACTCAGGCTCGTGCTAACTGTTTTTTCTTTTTAATGTAAGGGGGTTCTGAATTCCTATGAAGATCAGAAAATGGTCAAAATAAACAGAACAAAAAGCGGCTGATGTGTACAGAAATTTTTCAGTTAGTTATTAGCCTTAGAAACTAGGTGGGTTCATTCATATGTCCCAATTTTTTGTGGGGATGGGGCAATACTGGGGTTTGAACTCAGGATGCTGGCCTTGCTAGGCAGGTGCTCTTACTACTGAGCCATGCCTCCAGCCCTGATTTGTGCTTGCTATTTGAGATAGAGTCTTGCTTCCTGCCCAGGCATGCCTAGTACGATCCACTTACATTCGGCTCTCTGGTAGCTAGGAAAACAGGCATATTTCACCACATCCAGCTTTTCCTTGAGAAGGCATCTCATGAACTTTTGTCTTTCGAGACCAGCCCTGCATGTGATCCCAGCAATCTTAGCCTATCAGTAGTTAGGATTCCAGGGGTAAGCCACAGATTCTCTGGTCATACCACAAATTTTAATCCCAACAAAGCAAAGTGAACTACCTCAGACTGGAGGTGGGGCTCAAATAGTACAGCAAGTACCAGGCCCAGAGGTCAAATCCCAATTAATAATAATAATAATAAAAGTAAACTAATTCAACCACAAGTACTTGGTGCCTTACTGTGCTTCCCTTAGCAAAACCACTGGCTCAAAGAGGCCTTAGTGAAGACTATGTTGCACGTGAGCAGTTACACCAGAAAGGCGGGCTAAGCAGGGAGCATATGAACCCAAGACCTGCTAGCTGAGGTCAGCAGCTGAGGTCAGACACGCCTCTGGAGGGAGGAGCATGTCCCCAGACACAGGAAATGGTTCCACACACTGGAACCCTACTCAACAACTCTTACCTTTCTCTACACCCAGGTCAACTTCTAACCAGAAACAGAAGGGAGTCAGCACTCAAGGGCAGGCAGCCAGGGGGGTGCTCACCTCATGGCATCTGAGACCTGGGGGGTGCTCAGCACGACCAGCTTCCTGGTGGTCCCCTGCTGCTTGAGGGAGCAGCCCAGGACCAGGGCACCTTTGGCATAGGCGTCGTTTGTGGTCAGTGTCACAAAGGCCTGATCTTAACACAGAGAAAAACACACTCAGTACAGCCTTGGTGCTGGGCAAAGGTGGAATCAGCTCCTGGGAGATCAATTCACTGCGTCAGTAAAGGCAGAGAAAACCCCCGAGTAGTCATTTCAGGAATGGTTCAGTAAGCTGGTACCACTGGCTCACATCTATAATTCTTGCCGCTGAGATGAGGAGGCTCATTTCCCAAAGATCACGGTTTAAAGTTGGGGTGGGGGGGGGAAGGGAGGGCAGAAGAACCTGCTAGATTCTATCTCCATCTCCAAAATGACCAGCAAGAGAACAGGAGGGGAGGCATGGCTCAAATGGTGGAACACCGGCCAACCAGGCAAGCTGAATGCATGGTTCAAGACCACAGTTCAGCAGGGCTGCCTAACACCTTGCTAGAGGATGATCAGATCCAGCCTAGACACGGCCAAATCGCAGCTTAGCACCCGGGGTGGGGCGTGGGGGGGGTGAATTTGGGGCAATTAACAGGTGATCACAGGAGATTAAGAACTACTTTCCCCTCGCCTTGCAGGGCTGGGGGTGTCTGGGGCCTGCGGAATCCTTTGGTCCACACACATGCTTGGTGTCGGCTGTTCCCAGGGGCGGCCGGCGCTGATGACATTCTAAATGCTCGAAGGGCCCCGGGTGGGGAAAGGGCCCCCACTCCGGGGGGGGGGGTCTTTTCACTCATCCACAAATCCAGCTGTCTGTCAGGAGCAGAGGTCCGTTCCTGAGCCGGTTGCACGACTCAGGCCCTTCACCTGACTCTTCCCTCTCTCTAGAACCGAGTTCCCGGCCCCACCTCACGAGCGAGCTCCGAGAGCTCCTGGGGAGGCCTTCCCGGCTTGCACCGGGTTCAGAGACCGCCCGTCCTTCCTTGGTGGACGGGTCAGACAGACAGTCAGTCAGACGGGGACACACACCGACCTCCAGAAACGCCTCTCAGGAACCGAGGGCCAACATGGATTCGTCTTCCTGCTCAAGGAACGTCGGCCCTGCGGCCCGGTCCTCCGGGGACACCCGGGTGCACGGGTCACCCCGGGGCGCGGCTTTCCTCACACCAGAGGCGGCGGCTGCGGCCCGGGGAACCCGGGGCCCCCGACGCGGCCCCGGCGCC